AATTAATCAATTAATTTTTTTAAAAAAGGTCCTTGCCTCGTCGAGTTGACGTGACAACTAAACACGATGAACTAGGATTTGTAAAGCCCTTGGCAGAGAGCTGAGCGTCACAGAGTCCAGGGAGGAAAGAGTCAGAGAAGTGGCTGGGAGAGAAGGGAAAGGCCCTCCTTCACATGGGCTGCTGCAGAGGGAATGTGAACCAGTTTGTCTCTGGAGGGCAGTTTAGCAAACACCTTAAAGATATGCTTTTCTGTTGACCCAGAAAATCCACTTAGAGGAATTATCCTGAAAGGCGTGCGAGTTGAATTACCCACAAGGATGTTCATGCAGTGCTGTTGATGAGAACAAAGGATTGGAGACGATTTAGATGTCCAAGAAAAGCAAACTGGTTACATTATTTATGCTACATTCAGATAAATAAAAACTTCATAGCCGTTAAAAGTGTGGTTGTAGGGCTTCCCTGGTGGCGCAGTGGTTGAGAGTCTGCCTGCCGACGCAGGGGACACGGGTTCGTGCCCCGGTCCGGGAATATCCCACATGCCGCGAAGCGGCTGGGCCCGTGAGCCATGGCCGCTGAGCCTGCGCGTCCGGAGCCTGTGCTCCGCAACGGGAGAGGCCACAACAGTGAGAGGCCCGCGTACGGCAAAAAAAAAAAAAAAAAAGACCAGGAGGGGTCTGCGCAGCTAAGACTTTTGAGCTAAGTTAGGGGAGGTGGTGTAAATGCCCTCTGTTGAGGGTCACTGGGTAAAACTTACATCGTTCGCTCACGTTTTAAGTAAGAATGGATTCTTTGGGGAAGATCTGAAGCCATGCCAAAGGCTGTGTACAGCATAGCAAGGCACAAGGCAGGAGGACGCTGAAAGCAGTGGGCAGATTCATAAACAGACAGAAACACGCCAAAATGGGTCCTGGTCATCCCTGGGTGGTAACTGACTTAACAGGTGGTTTTTGGGGGGTCACTTTTCTACTTTTCAAATTTTTATGCAATAAGAATGTATTATTTTACAACTTGGGGAGATATCATTATTTTGAAAATAAAATAAAGCATAGAGATGCTGAAAGAACTGAAGGAAGTGGGTTCACTCAAGGGCCATGCCAGGGCGCCCTGCCCTGGGCGGGGCTTCCGTGCCTCCCCCGCCCTGGGAAGAGAAGCCAGCAGTGATTTGGGGGTATCTGTTGGGGGGCACGGCCAGGCACAGACAGTCCTCCAGGGCGGGGGTACCCTCACAGTTAAGGGCACAGGCTCAGGGCTTGAACGCAGCCCTGCCGCTTACTAGCTATGATCTTGCGAAAATAATCCCAGCTCTCTAAATTCAGTGTCCTCATCTGTAAGAGAAGAGCCATTCCCACTTGGTGGGGCTTAGGGAGGATTGAACAAGACAGTAAATATAAACTGCTTAATGCCAAGCCCATCACTTGGAAGCAGATAGTAAATAATATTTCTACAACGGGCCATGGCCTCCCTATAAGGTAACCAAAGTGTCACTGTTTCCCCCATGCAGAAGCCCAGGCCAGTCTTGAAGCAAAAGCCCAAACCTCACTCTGTCCCCAAAAGAAAATCCTCTCCTCAAAAGCACCAGTGAGCAACTGGTATTTTACGAAGGATTCAGCAGGAGCAGTGAGGATGGGTCAGGTGGGACACCAGGTGGGACACCAAATCCAGGTTCTCCCAGACCCTCCCTCTCCACCTGGCCCCACAGACTGCATGGCCCCCAGCCTCACTGGCCACGCCTACCCCTCCCTTGGCATCTCCCCGGGGGTCTCGTCCTTCGCCCAGCATCTTAGCTCCACCAGTCTCCTCCACCTGCCAACTAAGGCCCCTCAGGGCACTGGAGCTGCTCTCCTTAGAAGGTGAGCTGCAGGTTATAGATAAACCAGTGGATTTTTTCCTGATACATACAGGAAAGGACGCTGAGGTTCAGAGAGATTATGCAAGCTCTCTTGTAATAGGGAAGAACAAACGTGACTCCCTCCATACTGGATCTGTTTCTTTTACTTTAACCTTTCCATTCTACTGCTCTTCTTACAAGTTAAGAATGTTGCTTATAGCCTGCAATTTACAGGATAGCCCATTCTTAAGGCTCTGAACTTTAAAGGTATAACACTTTTCTAACCATATAGAAATAAAAAGTTGCAGAACAGAGAATAACCTTTTTCTTGTTGAAGGTTTACAGGAACATCGAAACCTGATCTACGCAGACAGCTACAAGGGGAGGGTGGGACGAATTGGGAGATTAGGATTGGCATATATACCCTACCAAGCATAAAATAGCTAGCTAGTGGGAACATGCTATAAAGAACAGGAAGCTCAGCTCAGTGCTCTGTGACAACCCAGATGGGTGGGATGGGGGGGTGGAAGGGAGGTCTAAGAGGGAGAGAATATAGGTATACGCATAGCTGGTTCACTTCATGGTACAGCAGAAACTAACACAACATTGTAAAGCAATTATACTCCAATTTAAAAAATTGTTTTAATTAAAAAAAAAAAAAAGGATTCTGGCACCAAGAAGTTTGCAGCAACCAACCACACCCCCTCCCCTTTTAGTATAAAAGAAGCCTGAATTCTGACTCAGGGAAGACGGTTCTTTGGGACACTAGTCCACCACCTTCTCTGTCTGCTGGCTTTCTGAGTAAAGTCGCTATCCTTTGCCCCAACAACTGGTCTCTTGATTTTGGCCTGTCCTGCGGTGAGAAGTACGAGCTTGGAGTTGGTTACAGCCTGAGGACACAGAACACACAAGTAGCAGGACAGCATCTCAAACAGTCCCTTGACTTAAAACCCCAATTTTGTTAGCAGGGCCTCCTGTGGGGACCGAGATGATTCCCCTGGGTTTGGGCTGCAACGCAGGAAGCTCTCATATCCTCGGGAGCATCTGGGAAGAGAGAAAAGAAAACACCCACGAATACATGCTCACACTTACTCAGATATGCATCCACACGCACACTGACACTCACATGCCTATAGCCTGCACATACACTCTCATCTGCACGTATTCACACACACCCACACACACGTTGTCCCGCTCATCTCTGAAGCACAACTGAACTCTGGCAGCCCCCCGACCCTTCTGTCAAAGTGTGGGTTCAGCCACTGTTTGTTTAAAGAAAGGAATTAGGGATCCAAAAAAATGTTTGTTTGTTTGTTTGTTTTGCGGTACGCGGGCCTCTCCCGTTGCGGAGCACAGGCTCCGGACGCGCAGGCTCAGCGGCCATGGCTCAGGGCCCAGCCGCTCCGCGGCACGTGGTATCTTCCCGGACCGGGACACGAACCCGTGTCCCCTGCATCGGCAGGCGGACTCTCAACCACTGCGCCACCAGGGAAGCCCCCAAAAATGTTTTTTAAATCCTAGTCTATGTGCTGTGATAGCTGCCCTGTCCACAGCAGCAGTGACCACCCAGACTCAGTCCTCGAGAGTGTAGTAACATCCCCTCCTCACCCCAAGAATCGGGATGCACTCCCAGGCACTAGCCCCACCAAGGAAATGACCAACCCCCTTACAAAGGCAGAATCACCCCAAGGCTTCCCCTGGAAACCCAGCCACTCCAGGTGGCCACGCTGCCCACCAGGAAGAGGGCCACCACCACCCTGGCCAGTGTCCTTGTCCAAGCCCAGGCTTGGACAGAAGAGCTAATGCCACCTGCTTTGTCAGAATCTCGTGGGACGGGAGTGGGAAGCATTCAGCACCGCATGTAGTGAGTAGCGGGTACTCGATAATTGTTTGTTTCACAAAATGAAAAATGTATTGCCCACGGGTGAACGCTAACGTAAACCATGGGGTTTGGGTGACTGGGATGTGTCGCTGTAGGTTCATCAGTTGTAACAAATGTACCACTCTGGAATGTTGACGGTGGAAGAGGCAGCTATGCCTGGGTGGGGGCAGAAGGTATATGGGAACTCTGTACTTTCCTCTCGATTTTGCTGTAAACCTGAAACTGCTCCAAAGAATAAAGTCTATTTTTTCGTAATTATTTCCTAGAATTCCTCTTAGGAAGAGTCTTATCTAGGGGTAGAGAGGACAGCATCTAAGCTGTTTGGGGCAAAGGACAAGGTCGGTGCCCCAGCCCCTGGGGCATGGTCAGGTGGCCATATTTGGTCACTAGCTGGTGGAGGCGTCAGCTCGGGCTGGGCGAGTGAAACAAAAGGAAAGACCTTCACCTTCTTGGTGGTAGAACTCTCAGCCCTGCCCAGGAAGAGACCCAGTTTGGGTGGGTGAAGATAAGCCACTTGGGAAAGGAAAAGATCATGTAACTCTCTTCACATGACCATCCCTGAGCTGTTTTCTCAACTGGGAGCAGGAAGCAATTCGCAAGCTCATCAGAGATGCTTGAGGCTGGAGTAGGAGACCAGGAAACACGTCTGATGTTGGTGAGGAGGAGGCTGGGGGGACAGTCAAGCGTATGAGTGTGGATTTGCCACGTGCTGTGTCAACGAACCCTCTCTTCAGTCTGGAATCATCTAGAGCAGTGCTTTCCAGTAGAAACATAATGCATGCCACCCATGTAACTTTAAATTTCCTGGTAGACACATTTTTAAAAAAGTAAAAAGAAGCAGGTGAAATTAATTTTAATAATCTATTTTATTTAACCCATATATCCAAAATATTATTATTTCAATAAGCAATCATATAAAAGTTATTGAGATATTATTTTTTATTTTTGGCTGCATTGGGTCTCCGTTGCTGCGTGCAGGCTTTCTCTAGTTGTGGCAAGCAGGGGCTACTCTTCATTGCGGTGCGCGGGCTTCTCATTGCCGTGGCTTCTCTTGTTGCAGATCACGGGCTCTAGGCGCACGGGCTTTAGTAGTTGCAGCACGTAGGCTCAGTAGTTGTGGCTCGCGGGCTCTAGAGTGCAGGCTCAGTAGTTGTGGTGCACAGGCTTAGTTGCTCCGCGGCATGTGGGAATCTTCCCGGACCAGGGCTTGAACCCGTGTCCCCTGCATTGGCAGGCGGATTCTTAACCACTGTGCCACCAGGGAAGCCCTACATTAGCTTTTTAAAAAATAAAATAAAAATAAAAATAAACCTGAGGAGGTATGGTCTCTGTCCAAGGAAGACTGCCAAACACACCTGTGAGCTTCTCCCAGAGAGGGACCTGGTGTGAACTGACTTCCCCACAACGACATCTGATGCTCTTTACTCCATCTGGAATGTCTACCCCCACCCCCACCCCGCCCCAGGGGACTCCAACTGCCACGCTCAGAACGCAGCACCCTCTATGCACCTGTGCCCCTTCCACCTGCGCCCCTGGCTCGCTGGGGGCATCTTCTGAACCCTGCCAAGCTGTGGACTCCCTGAGGGTAGGTGCCAGGTCTGGCCCTTCCAGGCTTCCTCCGCAAGCCCAGGCTACACTTTATCCTCCCCGCAACCGAGTCTGCAGTTTGCCTGCCCAGGGGAGGGGAACCAGGGTCTCTGGCCTGTACCTCCCTCCCTAAGCAAAGCTGCCTCCCCTGATCCCATCCACAGAGGGTCCTGCAGGACTCCCAGAAGGAGGAGGAAGCAGAGGGGAAGGAGCAGAAAGCAGGATGGGGAAGGCAGATGCTCCACCAGCAAAGGGGGGCCGAGTAGGAGTCCCTGGCAAGCGGAGGAAAAGAGAGAACAAGAAGAAAGCCTGGGGCGCAGCGGCAGGGGCGGGGGGATGGCTGGAGGGGAGCAAAGCACGCTGGGCTTAAGGGTCCAGCTCCGTGAATTTTTACCACCAGGATCAAGATGGAGATCGTTTCCAGCACCCCATAAGGGTCCCTCGCGTTGCTTCCCACTACACACCCTGGGTGGGGGGAGGCTGAAGGGGTGATGTATCATGAGCGGAACCCCGGCTGAGGGCTAAAGCACATCTCACAACAGCCCCGTGCAATCTGGGTCAGTGCTGCAGCAAGCCCAGGTCTGCCTCCGTTTCCAAGTGGTAAGAATAGCAGACTTCATTCCCTGAGGAGCAGTGGGGGGGACATGATTCCCATCATGTACATACATACTGGTAGCTCCCAAATAAGGAACGCAAGAAAGATCGCGTATATTTGACTTTCTTTCAATCAAGTTAAATCCTGTGCCGGTTATCCCACCAGCTGCCCAGAAATCTGACCTTGGATGTGACAGGGCCTGATCCCCAGGATTCCCTCTAGGTCACGGGGTTCTCTGTAGCACCAGAGCTACAGGGAGGCTGCTTGGACCAGATCAGCCATCTGCCTTGGTTACCATGGAGATGCCTATTTCCCCAGAGGATGTGATCTTTTCCTGGTGAGAGATTCTGCTGCTTCCATGCCAGGTTCAGAGCCCTGGGGAATCTTAATCAAGGCTGAAGGTCCCCAGGAGTCCCACACAGCCATGCCCTTGCCATGTCCCAAGCTCACCCTGGAGAGGTGCCCACCTCTGTCCCCCCATTCTCAGGGACTTGCTCCTGTCCCCTGCGGCTCTGAGCTCTCTCTCTTTCCCTTCTCCTCTGAGAATCTGGCATTATCTACTTAGTGATTTAATAACATTACATTTTTATCCTGTCACACTTATTTTTCTCTTTAAATCTCCTCAAAAGCTTAAGAGAGAAAGTATTCATATCCCTTTGTGCAGATGAAAAATATGGAGGCTGGGAGACTAAGTCACCCAGGCAGGAAGAGGTGGAGGTGATACTCAGATTCAGGTACTCCAGAGCCCGTGCTCCGGGGTCAGGACTCGGAAGTAGAGTGAGGTAACAAACAGGACAGTATTATCAGCAGGAACAGATGTCACTTTCAGACAAATTTGTCCTGGCTCCATCATTACTATACAAGCTCCCCGGGCTGGGACAACCTCTGCACTAGGTGGTGGACTCTTTTATTTTTTTTAAATAAGATTTTTTTTTTTTGATGTGGATCATTTTTGTCTTTATTGAATTTGTGACAATACTGCTTCTGTTCTATGCTTTGGTGTTTTGGCCCCAAGGCATGTGGGATCTTAGCTCCCCTACCAGGGATCAAACTCGCTCCCCCTGCATTGGAAGGCGAAATCTTAACCACTGGGCCGCTAGGGAAGTCCCTGGATAGTGGACTCTTATAGACCCTCCTTGGAAATGTCCCCAACGGGAACACAGAGCTACAGACTTTAGACCTGGAAAAGGCCTTAGGAATCACTGAGTCCTCCTTCTAGGGGATAAAATGGAAGCCCTGAGAGGCGAACAGGGTTCGCCCAGGAAGCTGGTGGTAACCAAGAACTGGGTGTCCCACTTTCCTAGCCACCTGCCCCTGGCCTGGCCTCTGAACAGTAGGCTGGCCAAAGCAAAGCCTGTGTGTGTTTGTGGCAATAACTGTTTACAGTGCACTGAGGTCAGGTCTGGCACCGGACACCAGGTCCCTGTAAGAGGAGCTGGGGAACATGCTTATCTAGGGCCACCCTCCCTGCCCTGCACCAGGAAGCCAGGTCCAGGAGCTCCCTTTAGAGCCCAGAGTCGAACCTCTGAAAAGGACCTTTTCTCAGTGCTTCACCCCAGGACTCTCTAAGAGGGCGGCAGAGGTTGCAGCCTGGAGCCAGGGGTTGGCCATTCCTAGTAACTGAGCAACTATGAGACAAGTTGGGACCTGGCACTCTTTGCTGCAGTGTTTGCACCTGAACAAACATCTCCTAGAGCAACAAAATGCAAAGAAACTATGAGGGACTAAAAATAACTGCATGCATGCACAGTTGGGGCAAATTATGGATAACAAGATACAAAAAGACCAAAAACCCAACTGCCACTTCTGAAGACCCAGGAGCAAAAGCGGGGTACTGCGCATGCCCCCTGCACTCAATTCCACCAAAGGGGTGGGCAGACCTCCTGAGCCACCCCCTCTGGCCCGACCCCTGGACACACCCCTACCTCACCCCATATAGGGAACCAGCTCGCCCCCCCTCAGGAGCAATCAGGGGAACCGGTTGCTTGTTTTTGCTCCCCCCTGCTGCAGCAGGGCCCCCAGTGAAGCCTTGCCTGAATTTCTTGTCTGGCCTCTTAGCAATTTCTATCGATTAAGGAAGGCCAAGAACCCTAACCGGTAGCACCTACAATGCCTGTTCATTCGACAAGTATTGTGCACCTACTGTGTGCAGGCACCTACTGCACACACAGCAGAGGAGAGAGGCACGTACCCTATTCTTTTGAGCTCACAGTCTAACAGGGAGATAAATAAGGGAACTGGCAGAGCCAGACCACGGGCATGCCACCTGTGCCATCACACAGGGCCCCACGCTTAGGAGGGCCCTGTGCCTGGCTTAATGTTCTGCTGTCGTTGTCTTCAAATTCTGAATCGTTTTTGAACAAAGAGCCTCACGCTGTCATCTTGTACCAGGCCCAGCAATTTATGTAGCCGGTTCAAGGAACAGGCAAGCAAAATGCAGTGTGATTAATGCCAAAGAGAGGAAGCGGGGGCACAGAGATGACTCCCAGCTGAGTCCTGGAGGATGAGTGGGAGATATCAAACAGGGAAGAGGAGGGAAGAAAAGGGACAGCACGTACGGACCCTGCAATGAGAGAGATCGGGTGCTTCATAGAACGTTGTAGAACGTGGGGAGCGGTGATACACCATGAGGTGAAGGGGAACTAGGACCAAGAAAAGCCAAGATAATCCTGAAGAACAAAACAGAGGAGCTCACGCTATTGGGCACAGAGACTTTTTATAAAACTCCGATAATTGACAGATTACGGCTCTGGAATAAACAGAGCAGTGGAACAGAACAGAGAGTCTGAAAACGAACCCACGCATAAATGGAAATACGATTATGATAGAGAAGGCAGGACAAATCAGGTACTAGTCAATAAATGGTGCTGGGACAACTGGCTATCCACATAGGAAAAAGAATTAGACCCCTCTCTCACATCTCACACACACACACACACACACACACACACACTTCCAGGTGGTTTAAAGACCTAAATGTGACTGGGAGATTGCGATCAACATATATACACTAATATGTACAAAATAGACAACTAATGAGAACCTGCTGTATAGCACAGGGAACTCCACTTCGCTGTACAGTAGAAACTAACACAACATTGTAAAACAACTATATCCCAATTTTTTAAAAAAGACCTAAATGTGAAAAAGCAAAGCTTTAAAACTTTCGGGAAAAAAACAGGGTATCTTTATAAACTGGAGGCAGAGAAAAGATTTCTTCAATATGACATAGAAAGGATCTTTTCCTAAAAGGAAAAGATAAGCTGGACCACATTGCGATTTTAAATTTTCTTATAACAAAACATGTGCGCACACTGGGGGAGCCAGCTCTGACTCATTCACTCTCTCTCCCCAAACCCCTTTCAAGCACAGCCACGTCTGTAACTGTAGAGGTTTCCAGGTGGAGGAAGGTTGTGTCCTTAGCTTCTTCTGGGATGGGTGTGAGACTGGGACGCCCATGCCTTCTAGCCATGGTTCCCCAATTCCTGATATCAAGGAAGCCAAATGATTATTCAAAAGATTACTTAGTAAATACGGAATCAAAAAACTATCAAGAAGAATGGTATAGATGATCTTACTTGCAAAACAGAAATAGAGAGACACAGACATAGAGAACAAACGTAGGGAAACCAAGGGGAGAAGGGGGGGTGGGGGGATGAATTGGGAGACTGGGATTGACATATATACACTATTGATACTATGTATAAAACTGGTAACTGGGCTTCCCTGGTGGCGCAGTGGTTGAGAGTCCGCCTGCCAATGCAGGGGACGTGGGTTCGTGCCCCGGTCTTGGAAGATCCCACATGCCGCGGAGTGGCTGGGCCTGTGAGCCATGGCCGCTGAGCCTGCGCGTCTGGAGCCTGTGGTCCGCAACGGGAGAGGCCACAACAGTGAGAGGCCCGTGTAGCGCAAAAAAAAAAAAAAAAAAAAAA